GTTCTCACAAGATGACAGAACAAAAGAGGCCTCAGTTTATCACGTCAGCACAAGATCACCACGTTTTCTCTTAATGGCAGCTCATCACATGAGCACACAGTTAAACACATGACTATAATAGTAGAATAACGAAGTACCTCACAGCATTTGAAAATAAGTAGTGATAGCCTTTTGATGAGTCACGTTTACGGCAGATCTATAATGAGAAGCTGTGCAATGCGTGTACTACATGGCTGCATTTTTGAATTACTGCATTTTTCCTATGCAATGTCTACAATTCAGCATGCCATCAAATCTTTTCAATAAATTCAAGATTTTCTTACCCCATGGTTTTTTGCCGGATGCTTCTAATTTCCGCAACATAGCTGGCTGCTCCGGTGATTGTCTGGAATGCTGTATTAGGGTCAACCTGACCCCAGATCTTAGAACCAAGTCGGTCCAGAATTACCATAAAACAGTGGAGGGCTGGCCAGAATGGGTCAGAAGCTGGGTTATCCTCTGAAAAACATAAGTGGACCACTTTTAATCTATTGTATCTCATCACATCATGAAAAGCTCATGACCACTACCATTTACATACCATTTTTCAACCCATCCATTGTGTTGAGTATGCAAAGCGGTATGTTAATCTGTCCCATGAACAGAGAGTCCATTGCCTCCGCACTGAGCTGCGTTAGTAACATACAGATACCTGTAGAGCACAAAAGAGATTAACTTTAAAAAGGTGACATCACACTCACCAAGGGATGAACAATGAGTACCATTTGCCAATTCCAGGTCAAACTGACACCACTACATATTCAAGTGCTATACAGCAAGTTTCCAGATTAACATGCACCCGAATAGGGCACTGTGCAACACTTATTTTACAGTAGGTAGACACTAGAGCAATCCATCTAGCCCCCTAAATTTCTAATCCCATTCCCTTCTTTCAAAGATCCAGTTTCTATATTAACTTTCCCTGCCATTGACTGAATTTTATGGCAATCCATGTTTTTTTTTTTTCTTCTTCACTGGTAGGGGTGCTATTACGCATCAAAATAAAAATGGCAAATAAAACGTCAAACCCATTAAGAGGTATAGGACAGTGCAAACTTTGGGTTGTCAGAAAAAATGCTGGCAGGAAAAAAGTTAACTGCAGGATGGTGAGATCTTTGTCAAGAGCAGAGGAATGACTGCTGTCCAGCTAGAGTGAGAAACCAAAATATCTCAAATTGTAGAAGTAACAAAAGGAACGGGCATCATAAAGAGGATTTGGAGAAAACTAATAAACAGACCTAGCCAGTAGTTCTTCTTGTTTTGCGAGTCATAGAGGTGAGAGGGGAGCGTTTGTATGACGCCCCGTGCATAAGACTCTTGATCCAAATCTGGAAAGTTCAAAGACATTCCAAGCTCAATGACATAAAACATGCAGGAGAAAATCTCTTGAAGGTCATAGTAGGCATCCCTGTCCACACTCTTCATGGTCTTTGCTGTATCGATTGCCCAGCGGCGCACCTGGAGTGGAAAGGTGGAGTAAGAACAAGATTACCAAAAGAGGACCAGCCTAACAAGATATGGCTTTTTGACTGAGTTACCTGTTCGTTGGGATGAACGAGAAGCAGATATATTCCTTGATACTTCTCGAACACAGACAAAGACTGCTTCATATCCTGTAACTTACACAAGGCCTTTACCACCAAATCACCTGTAGAGAAAGAAAAGAATATGTAGAAAAGCACTAAAATCACACGTATGTTATTATAAGCTTTGGTTGTGATAAGTAAATTGTGGCATTCTGCCAAATATTTTTGAACGACAGCCAAAAAATATAATTAAGTGCCATCTGCATTGGATGCTTGTATCACCCTGTCAGTGTTTATTTTTAAAATAACGACTAGCTGACTCTACATTATTTTCAACATTGTGTCATCTGACTTTCTGATTGCCGTGTATTTCTACTGTTGACTATTTATGCCACTACAATTTCCCTTGAGTGATAATTTACTCCATAACCAACATTTAATAATGTGGAACCACATGGCTAGCTTGTTATCAAGCTCTTTGGCACCTTTATTACCAGAGGATTAGGAATAGAACAGAAGAAAATATAAATGGACCAGACAACAAAGCCGAGATGCCAGCTGACCATCCGAATTGGCCTCTTTCCAAGCTTCCATTCTCATACTTTATCATAAGTCTCATACGTTATCAGTCACTGTCCAATAAGCATATAGCTCAGACTTTTATACATGTTACTCCCCTTGCTTTCCACAATTATTTATTAGCTCTCTTGATTCTTCTTTAATAGCCTACTGGTTTGTTTTTAAAGATAACTTTTTTTTATTTTTATTTAACCCTCTCCAGGTGCTCAGAGGTCCCAGAGGCATATACTGTATATTACACATGAGCTATCGAGATTTTAATAATCCTTTGCATGCAGTGTACACATTCCTCATTTTTGCACCCTTCTCCAGGGGCGTCGCTAAGGGGGGAAGTTAGGACGATTCTAAGGGCTCACGCACTTTTGGGGCCCCCAGAGATCTGTTTTATTAGTAGTAATGTAATAGAAATTATAAATGTATCTACCAAAGAGTTACAAATAAAACAAAATTACGGCTTATTTCTGCATTTCCAACAAAATTATCTCCCCCCCATTCACTGCATGGTTTCGTTCCGTTCTACGTAGCCTAGAGTCACGAGTGAGATCAGATGGTAAACTGTCAAGTTAGAGATGCCTTCGAGTTCGAGGGGAGGCAAACCGAGCCGGACGATTTGGTCAGTCGCACTTTTAAACACATTTTATTTGGTCAGTCGCACTTTTAAACACATTTTAGTTTTGCACATCACTGAGGATGCGTCCCAGTGCATTCGTCCCAGTAGTAGTAATGTAATAGAAATTATAAATGTATCTACCAAAGAGTTACAAATAAAACAAAATTACGTCTTATTTCTGCATTTCCAGCAAAATTATCTCCCCCCATTCACTGCATGGTTTCGTCCTTACTCATTCACTGTTTAAAAAAACTTTAGCTGGATTTCCACAGGCAGGGTCACAATTATCTACAGTGTATGAAGCTAAAGGTTTTTGGGTTAAGGTTCATAATGTAGAACATTTTTAACATTGTATGCTGTATGTGCATAGGTAGCTAGCAAACAAGGAATACAGCTGTTAAGCTAATAGTCACATTAGCCGAGTAAGATCATGATTGATAAATGTTGGATACTGCTGGAAATGCTGCTATGGAGTATCCTATTTATTATTTTAGGATTTTTTTGTTTGCCCCAGTGAAGCATTTCTATTAATATAACTGATTAAGTAGTCAAACTCATTCCATATCAGCAGAATAGTGTGGTACAGAAAGTCTATGTCCATTGAACAGGTTCTGAATGAATTATGTTACTGATACCTAATGGTCAAAAGCAATAGCAAAAGTAATAGGTCAATATTATTAAATTGCTTACAACGATTTTGAATAGGTTGGCTTGTACACTATATTGCCAAAAGCCCCCTTCAAATGAACAGGTTTGACTACTTTAGTAATTTCTCATTTTTAGTAAAAAAAAAATATTAAATTGCAGACAAAGATTTTGAATAGCTAGTTTGGCCTGTACACTATATTGCCGAAATTATTGGGACACCCCCTTCTAATGAACAGGTTCGACTACTTTAGTAATTTGCATGAGTACAAATCTTAATGTTTAAGCATATAATGATATTCTGGGGAATTGTGTGCTTTTAATTTTATAGCAATAGTTTAGACAGAACCCTTTTCTATTCTAACACAACAATGCCTCTGTGTATAAGGAAAGGTTAAAAAAAAATTTTTTTTAAGATTGATTCATAGTTTTTTGCCCAAGGTCTGCATTTAAAGTCACACCAGAGGTGTTCAGCTGGGATTAGGACTTGGCTTTCTGCAGACCAGTCAAGTTCTTCCACACTGACTGAATCAATCTTTTTTTTTTTTTTACCTTGCCTTTTTAACCTTGTCTTAACACAGAGGCATTGTTGTGTTAGAATAGAAAAGGGTCCTGTCCAAACTATTGCTATAAAATTAGAAGCACACAATTCCCTAGAATATCATTATATGCTTAAACATTAAGACTTGTACTCGTGGAAATTACTAAAGTAGTCAAACCTGTTCATTAGAAGGGGGTGTCCCAATACTTTGGGCAATATAGTGTATGTTTGGTGCAGTAGGGGGCCAAACCCCATATTCTTTCATAGGGCCCAAAATTGCTAGCGGCGCCCCTGCCCTTCTCATTCACGTAGGCCTTTAAAATGCATCCGACTCTCATAATATCAAAGCAACTTCTACAAATGTCTTCTATGAGATAGATGAAAATATTTCAATCAATCAATAACCTTACAGTTTTCAGATTTTTAATCACCCACTACACCACATGGAATGATGTTGGATATGAGAATGTGACTTACACAGATCACGGTAGCAAAGCAAGTACGGATACTTCAGAACTTCAAACAGTGGAGAACGGAGACGGTCGTGGAATTCTGCAGGCAAGATCTTCGACACTGGCTCCACATGATCATCTTCGATAATAAAGATATCGTCCTCCTCCAGCTCCTTGTCCAGAATGGTTCCCAACAAATGCACAAGTCGAGCCTTCTCCATTTCCCACAAACGCTGCAAGAAAGCAAGAATTAATGTCTGGACACATGCAAGCTGAAAGAACACAACATTCACGCATTTAGCAGATGCTTTTATCCAACACGAATTACAAGAACAAAAGCAATTAGTCAAAGGGCCAACAATCTTCATAATAAACAATGCCAGTTTAATTAGACAACTAGATTAGGAAGCAAGCTAGGGAAGAGACGTGCAGAGAAGAAACATGGTGAAAACACCAAGGTCTTCTGTTCTTCAGAAAATGCAAAAGCTGAATCAAACTTATTCCACTTACTTCTATAGCTATTGTTAAATGCACTTTTGACCTTCTGCAGCATACACTTAAGCATTTCAGATTAAGCACATATGGCATGCATTTCTGTGCAAGTTTGTTGTGATCTGAACAACTTGGAAGTCTGGAAGTGTGTGATCCTCAGAAATGTAGTGTATGAGGCCCAGGTTTTCCTCTTTAACCTTATACAAACTCAGCAAATGTATGATGCCTACGGTTTTAAAATCTGTTTACAGTCACTGCCTCAGTTACTCCTTTGGTTCACATGGCCTTCAACTAGGCATGGGACGATAACCGGTTTCAAGGTATACCGCGGTTTGGAAAAGCAACGTTTTTTTTTTTTTTTACATGTCATCAAAGACGGAAAGTGCAGCACTCCCTCGGTTGTGTGCAGCGAAGAGCGTAACGAGTCACACGACCCCTCCCCCTCCGGTTGGTGCGAGGCTGCGAGCAGTCAGTGAGAGTCACCTGTGTGTGGGATGGCCGAAGGAGGTCACGTTAACGTTACTTCACAGAGCGAGGAATAGCAGACTAAAGCACTACATTTCTGCGATTTAGTACAATAATTAAATTTAGCTGGTATCACGTCTATACTTTTAAGCCTCCTCCCATTGTTTTTTATTTTTTTTACAGAAAATAATTTATTTATGTTCTGATTATTGTTGAGCTGCAGGTTTAGGCCCACTTAAGTGACTGCACTTAATTTAATTACGAAGAATTCCATTATTTCTTTTAATTATTTAGCCTGTCATGTTTATAGAGTGTTCCAAAATGTTCTATGTTTCTTAAAAATAAAATGTATTGTGTTCAGTGGGAGAAAAAAATGGTTGTTTTTTACCCAGACATTTAAAAATAACATATTTTAGAGCTGTAATCGCAATACCGCGATATTTTTATCTAAGGTTATCGTACCATCAGAATCTCATACCGGCCCATGCCTACCTTCAACATATTCTTTTGATAAAAAAATGAGGCGAATACACTGAATAATCACTTTGTGATACAATTTAAATGTTTTGACAGACTAGACGGCAGTCTGCCACCCTTACAAAGGGAACAAGATAACCAATTAGTGAGGTGACCGTGACAGAAGAATTAGGGAGTACTGGTGAGATAAAGGAGGAGAACAACTGGAAAGAAATCATTGCTTAAAAATGTAAGTGTAAATTGCAAGCAAGATGGTCAGATGTTCTGCGGCTGCAAAAATTTCAAATTTGTTATCTCCAACAATAAAGTCCGATTTTGGCATCTGAACTCTGTGACTTGAGTGTTACTTACTTGCAGAGAAGAGAAGGCCGTTTCTACAAGAATTCACAATGTTAACAGTGAAAACATGTGAAAAGGGTCCATACAACAACATTCTGAGATCAACAGTAATTTGTGTCTTTACATGTGGTGGCTTCTGTGAGAAATCACTCTCGAAGTCTTGAGGTTTTGATGCCAGAAGACTTTATTATCAGAGATAATGAAGCAGAGAGACTCTGCAGAGAATCTCTAGTCTGTAGGGGCGTTTCCATTACCCTTCGAATTGCGCAAATTGAAATTGCGAATTGAAAATATGCCTAATGGAAACGCGTCAATTTCGCAAAAATGCCCATATATCGCAAAAAAGTTTTTACGCTCGCATGAGGTGGTTTTTCAGGCAATGCGAAAAAGGAATAATTTGCAAAACTGCAATGGAAACGTTTTTTTCGCATTTACAGGTCACATGGCGTATGTAAAAAGTCATATGATCATTCTTCAATGTACTATAACCTCCAAGAAACACTTCATACGTGGCGGCTCTCCAGTATAAGGGGCTTTCCCTAATGTTAATGCTTAGATAATTTACACTGCACACATCTGTGGTGCAGTGTGGCTCTGATACAGCCACTGAAGCGGATTGCGGCCACTAGCAATGCTTGTGATTATTCCAGCCGCGCCACGCACGTTTCTGAAGCGGCTCTCTGTGCTGCTTCTGTAAAGATACACGCATATGACTCCTTTGAATAAATATAGCCAAAATCCGTCAAAATCCAACCAAAATCCGTTGCCATGACTTATCGCGAGAGGCAAAAGGTTACGTTTTAGTCGCATAACATTGGATAATGGAAACGCCGTCATTTTGCAATACTTTTTTATCGACATCTATAAAATATCGCCAAAGTTTTGCGCAAATCTGTAATGGAAACACGCCTTGTGTGTCTGCACTATCTTTTATACAGATTTTCCTCAAGGCGTTCTACACATTTCACACACTCCCATACACTATATCCCTGCAATGTCTGTACATTCCACTCGCCTGCAGGCCTCCATACACACAGGCACATGATCATAATTTACATTTACATTTAATCATTTAGCAGACGCTTTTATCCAAAGAGACTTACAAATGAGGACAACAGAAGCAATCAAAACCAACAAAAGAGCAATAATATGCAAGTGCTATAACAAGACGCGGTTAGCCTAACGCAGTACATGTAGGGTTTTTTTTTTTATAGTATAGAAAATTATTAGGAAACACTAGTGTTAAGAGAGTCTTTTTTTCTAATAAATAAAAAGAAAACAAGTAGATAGAATAGAAAAAGAACAGAGAAAGCTGGTGTTAGAAGAGGCCACAAAACATGCCGTTAGAAAACTAATAGAGAGTGCAAGTGTTAGAGGGCTTTTTAAAATAATAATCGTAGAATAACTTGATATACAGATGGCTATATTCACAGTGATTATACTTAATTCATATTTTTATTAATAAAAATCGTCTACATACTGTATGTAGTACGAGTTAAGGCTGCTCTGTGCCAGCTCAAAATTCTGTGTAAGGACAGACAAAAATATGCCTGCTCTCGCACCTCAGTTAGAAAGTATCCAGTTGTAATTGCTGTGCAATTGCATTTATACCACCTCCGAGCCGTATTAAACAGTCTGTGTACAGACAGCTAAATGAAACTTCAGAAAGCACTTCTGTTAGACCCTTACAGTGTGACTTTGGCAGACTTTTGCTCAGAGTGTTTGTGTACCTTGTGCAGATCAGGGACCTTGTCTCTGGCTCGATGGTACTCCACCACACACTCCAGACAGCAGCCGAGGTCTTCATTCAGAGAGTCCATCTCTCTCTCAGACAGCCGTCCTGAGCTGTAGTGACTCAGCATGGTGACTATCGCTGCGTCACCCTCTGCCTCCAGGGAGGTGGTGCACCACAGACACTTCTCCATCACGATCACCTGTGCACACACAGATACAGACAGCTTAATATAATGCGTTCTTAAAGCCTCCATATGATTCTACAGCACTTCTCTCCTCATTCTCCAAAATGCCTTCAAGCATCTTTTTAGCAGCTTAACGCTCATGTTGAGTACACAAATACAATATATTCTTGATCACGGATTTAAAAAATAACAGTGGATTAAAAGGGACACTTCACCCAAAAACGAAAATGATGTCATCATTTACTCACCGTCAAGTTGTTCCAAACCTGTATGAGTTTCTTTCTTCTAGAGAACACAAAAGATGATATTATGAAGAACGTTGGTAAGCAAACAGTAGCTGGTAGCCATTGACTTCCATAGTGTGGATACCTGTGATTCTTCAAAATATCCTCTTTATCCTCCATATAAGAAACACTCATAAAGGTTTAGAACAGTTGAGGGTGAGTCAATGACAATTCATTTTTAAGGTGAACTATCTCTTTAAGAACAGTCTTTATGACTGTGCACGCAAAGCATGACAAGACTTCAGCAAAGAAGAATAGTGGGCAAAAACTGAAAGTAAATGACAGGGACTGTCAGACACTAAGAAGGATTGTTCCTAAACAATACAGAACTACTGCAACCTCAATATTCACCTTAAATACCCTGTTTCTATAGTATAATTTTATGGAGATGCAGTATATTTTGGTGGAAGCACTATGACAACTGAGACAAGTTACAACAGAGTTTGGCACCAGAACTGAGAAAACGCGGTGTAAACACATTAGACATGTACCAGCCTCTCCACTGTATGAGAATTATTTTTTTACAAATTTTTAAGGAGGATAGGGAAAGTAATTGTAGCTAGAGACTAAGGATGAGCAGGGAAGAAAGATAAGGAGAGGAACACCTGTGAGTGAGGTCAATGGTTTTGAACTGTATAAAATAGATATATTTACATTTAGTCATTTTGCAGACGCTTTTATCAAAAGCAACTTACAATTGGGGAATACATAAAGCGATTCTTCTTAAAGAGGCAAACAGACACAGGAAGTGCTCGTAATACCAAGTTTCAGGCATTGTTCAAATAAGTACAAGATATATATATTTTAGTGCTGGGCAACGATTAAAAATTTGAATCGCGATTAATCGCATAAATATAAAACCAACGCTATTTGCCACTGCCAGGGCATTAATGTTTTTATAGAAAATATTTTATAGTTTGTTACAGAAAAACAAGTTATGCTCAGAGTCCAGAGCCTCGATCATAGCATTATAACAGGCACCTTCCGAGTAGGGAGCGATCACACTAGTCAAACGAACCAGGTTTTGGGGGTCAAACGCACTCGGGCACGGTTAAGATTGCCTAGTGCGAGTACACCCTTATTCTCCCACATCCCGCACACACAAGTCTCTACCCGCCCGCACGATTAATCGCATAAATATAAAACCAACGCTATTTGCCACTGCCAGGGCATTAATGTTTTTATAGAAAATATTTTATAGTTTGTTACAGAAAAACAAGTTATGCTCAGAGTCCAGAGCCTCGATCATAGCATTATAACAGGCACCTTCCGAGTAGAGACCTGCGCGGGACCCAATGCAGCAGAGTGCGGCGCGGGACAACACTTGATGGGCGGGTAGAGACTCGTGTGTGCGGGATGCGGGAGAATAAGTAGGGTGTTCTCACACTATGTAATCTTAACCGTGCCCGAGTGCGTTTGACCACCAAAGCACGGTTCGTTTGACTAGTGTGATCGTTCCGTGCGTTCGTTTAGCTGTCCCTGGCTCGGTTGGAAGAGGTTGGCCAGAGTGCGGTATGGGTCCCGCGCAGGTCTTTACTCGGAAGGTGGCTGTTATAATTAGGGTTGGGTATCGATTGGGTTTTTTACGATACCGGTGCCAAAACGATACTTTTAAAACGGTACCGGTGCCTAAACCGATACTTTAAAAAAAAAAAAAATACACAAAATAGGATGGATTGGCCATTATTGAGCCCTATAAACACATTTAATGTCTGTTTCATTCATACTGGACGTCAGAGGGCGCACTCGAACAGAAAATCGACATATCCAGTCACAGAAGTACAAAACTCATGACCCTCCAGGAAATCCCTTATATGGACAAAGGCATGGCTATTATA